TCAGTGCTCTGCTCTGGCCTTCGCTAAATGCGTCTTGCCTGTTGAGAGCTGACTAAAGGGAATCAGTTTATAAATGTTTAAGCGCCTGCCCAGAACTTGGCTCTCTAGATTCCCGAATCTCTGATAAATTTCCCGTTGTTGCTAGTAATGAGGTTAGTTTGTTGGCGGCATAAGGTGGATCCTGGGGAGAGTGAGACTGTGGCACCAGAAGCTTGGCATTTCCCTTCGGCTGCCGGTATCTTCCCGTGACTCCCGATTCTTCTTTTCCAGTTTTCCAGGGCAATGGCTGCCAGGTTTTCCTTATATTTAAGTAGTTAATGGAGTTAGGAGATTAGAGCCCTGTCATTTATTTGCCTTATCACTTTGTATAAGTTATTTCGCAGTGCCCAGATTGCCTCATCTTTAAGATTCGCAATACCAAACTCTCAAACTTGTTGGGAGGATTGAGTAAATGAGTTATGTGCAAATGCTTCGCACTAGACGGGTACTTAATAATACTAAGTACATATAGGTGCCCAAACGTATTGGTCAAATGAACATTAAGTCATCTGAACCAAAGCTTAATCTTTTTTGAACAGTAAAAGTCTTCGATCAATTAGGAAAACAAACTTAGATTCTGCAGAAAAACAACCAAAATCTCAAAATTATGTATTGAGTAATTTACTATAGAGAGACAGTATAGTATAGCATAGTATAGTATAGTATAGTAGTTATGGGCAAAATATCTGGACTCAGACTGCATAGGTTGAACCTAGGTTCTGCCACTTGTAACCTTAAGCAAATTTCTCAAACTCTGTGCCTCAGAACTAACATCTATCAGGTGGTGATGTAATAGCGCCTATCTCAAAATGTTAAATGAATTTTTTTTTTTTTTTTTTTTTTTTTGAGAGAGGGAGTTTCGCTTTTTTTCCCCAGGCTGGAGTGCAATGGCGCGATCTCGGCTCACCGCAACCTCCGCCTCCTGGGTTCAGGCAATTCTCCTGCCTCAGCCTCCTGAGTAGCTGGGATTACAGGCACGCACCACCATGCCCAGCTAATTTTTTGTATTTTTTAGTAGAGACGGGGTTTCACCGTGTTGACCAGGATGGTCTCGATCTCTCGACCTCGTGATCCACCCGCCTCGGCCTCCCAAAGTGCTGGGATTACAGGCTTGAGCCACCGCGCCCTGCAAAATGTTAAATGAATTAATGTAAATCGCTTAACACAGCACCTGATACTTTATGCAATTCTATGATTAGTTTGTAGAAGTTTTGTTTGTAAGCCAGACCTTCCAAAGAAGTGAATTTGTTTTGAGAGTAAATTTGTCCATTAGTTTGAATACTAAAGCCAAATGATTTTAGCATTAAGTCGTGTCTAGGTAGAACAATAATCATTACCTTCACAGGTCTTTTGTCTCATCCCAATAATGTATGTGAAATCACACTGAAAAGTAGAATGTGCTTTAAGCCTACTTATGTACACAGTATTTCTAGTCATTATAGGGAATGCAATATATTACTTTTAACATGTAGAAGAGTCCAAGATGTTAAGAAAACAAGGAAATAAATACTGCAAGATGATTTTGTATGATAAAAAAAAGTATTACTAGTTAGTGTTAATAAAGAAATATCACTGTGGTATGGGAGAAAGATGAATGTGCGTTAGTTCTTGAAAAATAGTTGGAAATAATTGCACTCCACACATTCTAATTTTTCCTGTAGTCTTTTCTGGTATTAAAAAAATTATGATAGAAATTTTAGTGTTTTATGATGACATTTTTCTAACCATTTCATGATGGAGCTTGTTTAGAGTAGGCAAGAATGCTGAAAAATAGTAACCTTTTTGGGACTCCTTTTCTCCAAGTATAAAATGATAATACAACTTCCAATCAATTGTCCAGTATGTCACTTTGTAAAAACATTTTGATACTATAGACATTTCCTGAGGACTGCCAGCTTATTAAGTGGTACAACTTTTGGTTTGCTTAAATGCTGCATTGCATGCCTCTTTTCTCTTGGCCTGTGTAAAATTGCTTTTAAGTTACTCGGAGTACTCCAGCCCATACAGAATTCTCTCCTTTCTGAATTCCTGTAGCGTGTATAATCTGAACTACATTATCTAACACTGAGTGTCTTAGTAGTGGACATGTATAGAATTCATTAGTTTTTCCTCACTTGTGAGTTAGACGGGGGTAGGTGATATTAACATTTCACACATTTGGAAATAGCATTTCACACATCTGGAAACCGGGGCTTAGAAAGGACAAGTAATTTGCTGAAGTTCGGAGTGCCAAGTCCACATCATAACCAGGTCTCTTGGATTCTAGTCCTGTTGGTTTTCCACAGTATGACATGCTAATGTGGTTCATTTTGTTGTCCATTTGTTTCATGTCTGTGGCTCTTGTAAGTTCCTTGTAAAGAATCTTAAATTCTCCAGAGCTACACAGGCAGTTTCCTCTTCCACTCAGGGGTCTCTTAGTATCTTTCTCTTGTATTTCTATTAAATATGTTGCCTTCTGCTACTCATTGGACATACTCAGTGTTTAAAAAACATTTTTGGTCTTGTATTAAGCTAATTTCAAAACTGAACAGGTTACTGCCTAGAATTTTAGTCTTCTAAGTGTCACATAAGTTCTTTATAAACAAGCTCCCCCCTCAAATAATATTTCTTATTGTAAAAATACAATAATATTTCTTATTGTAAAAATAATGCAAACTTTTTTTTTTTTTTTTTTTTTTTTTTTTTTTTTTTTTTTTTTTTTTGGAGACGGAGTTTCGCTCTTGTTACCCAGGCTGGAGTGCAATGGCGCGATCTCGGCTCACCGCAACCTCCGCCTCCTGGGTTCAGGCAATTCTCCTGCCTCAGCCTCCTGAGTAGCTGGGATTACAGACACGTGCCACCATGCCCAGCTAATTTTTTGTAGTTTTAGTAGAGACGGGGTTTAACCATGTTGAGCAGGATGGTCTCGATCTCTTGACCTCGTGATCCACCCGCCTCGGCCTCCCAAAGTGCTGGGATTACAGGCTTGAGCCACCGCGCCCGGCCTAAAAATAATGCAAACTTATTGAATAATGTTTTCTTAGAAAATGAGGCATGTTAAGTATAGAAGTGTTAGGAAATACTGATAAGCAAAAAGAAGGAAATAAAAACTGCCCATACTCTTACCACTGGCAGGCACTTAGAATATACCCTTCTGCTCCTTTTTCTTTGCATGGATAATATAACAAGTTTTTCTTTTATTAGCAAGTTCACAAACTAACAGTCTTTAAATCTGTAGCCTGTATAACAAATAAAAGTGTGTTTGTTTAGAAGTTTTGAGGCAGTTTGATACGATCTACAGGTGCATTTTGTGTGTTTCCCCCAAGTCTAAGAAGCCATATTACTGATATCTACAACTCTGAAACACTTGTAAAGTATTTGACAGTAGCATTTTGTTCTTTAAATCCTATTAAGGGATTTTGACATTTCAGAAGCTTTAAAACAGGTAACATGTCTCCCAGGGAAGATTATTCAGCACTATTTGGAAAATGAAAAGTGAAAGTAAGAGTGAGATAGGAAGATTTAGGCCTTTTCCGAAGCTGCAGACTGAATGTGGTGTTTTCTTCCTTAGGCAATAACTGTAACCTGAATATTTATCAATCTAATCTGAATGAGTCTGGTTCAGCTAGATAAGATTAGAGTATTAGGATTTTTGTGAGGTATTTTAAATAGCTTACTATCAGAATATTCACTAGAATTTTTGCTTTGGCAATAATTTTTCTTTTCTCTTTTTAGAAATGGAATTGGTTTATTTTTTAAAGAGATTAATATTCTCAGTTGATTGGCCAGGTTCGGTGGCTCACACCTGTAATCCCAGCACTTTGGGAGGCCGAGGCGGGTGGCTCACAAGGTCAAAAGATCGAGACTATCCTGGCCAACATGGTGAAACCCCCTCTCTACTAAAAATTTTTAAAAAATTAAAAAATTAGCTAGGCATGGTGGCACTCGCCTGTGGTCCCAGCTACTCGGGAGGCTGAGGTGGAAGAATCGCTTGAACCCGGGAGGTGGAGGTTGCAGTGAGCCGAGATTGCGCCACTGCACTCTAGCCTAGTGACAGAGCAAGACCCGTTCCCCCTCCCCCTGCAAAAAAAAAAAAAAAGTATATATATATATTCTCAGTTGATTTTCTGTTTTTTCTTGAGATGTTTCCTTAATTTTAATTGCGGCACGAGTCCTTTCCATATATGCTTTTGTACAGCTACAAATAACTAACATTTGTAGTTGTAGAAACATTTTAGGGCTTTGTTATCATGAGCCTAAATAAAGATAATCGCCATTGGTTGGATTCCTTCAGTTTCTTCTGTTCTGTTCCTTGCATTTCAAATGCCTTTAAATACTTTAAATTGTATTTTCAACTAGTAGCTTTCATGTATATTCTCCAACTGAATTGACACTACACAATATGTTGATGCTTTAGCATGAAGAGTGGAAGAGACAAATTGATAACATTACCTATTAAAATCTTCTAAAAGCAATGATTAGTGAAATTATTCAATGTACAGTCATCACTGGTATCTGTGGGGATTGGTTCCAAATCTCTGCAGATACCCAAATCTATAGCGTATTACATATGTAGATACTCCTGTGTATTTTAAATCATCTCTAGATTGTTTATAATACTTAATATGACATAAATGCTATGTAAATAGTCGTTGTATTGTTTAGGGAATAATGACCAGAAAAAAAGTCAGTACATGTTCAGGATAAAAGAAAGCATCTATTTTTTTTTTCTGAATAATTTTGATCCATAGTTGGTTGAATTTTGGATTCTGAATCCATGGATATGGAAGGCCAACTATAGTAATTAATAAACCTGTTTATGGTTGCATAAATAACGACAGTCAATTTCTGTTAAGGCAATTTCTAACACAGTTTTTTTTCTTTGAGCAGATCATGACAAGATGTTTAAGATGAGTGAAAAAATATTACTCCTGTGTGTTGGAGAGGCTGGAGACACTGTACAGTTTGCAGAATATATTCAGAAAAACGTGCAACTTTATAAGATGCGAAATGGTGGGTAAGAGAGCTTTGGTTGGCATATGAGTTTACTAGGGCTGCCATTATAGAGTCATAGAGTGGGTGGCTTAAACAACAGACATGTATTTTCTTACACTTCTGGATATCAGAAGTCAAAGATTAAGGTGTTATTTTCCTTATCTCTAAAATGAATTCTAATAATACTAATGAATAATACATATGAAAATGCTTTGTAAACTTAAAGCATTGTGTAACTAACTGTAGGTATTTACTATGCCATAAAAGGGTTTTACCTTAAGAGGGTTGATTTCTGAGACCTCTCTCCTTGGCTTGCAGATGGGCATCTTCTCCCTGTGTCTTCACATGATTTTTCCCTCTGTACTGTGTCTAAATTTCCTCTTCTAAGAATACCAGTCATATTGGATTAGGAACTCATTTTAATTTAATAATCTCTTAAGGATCCCTTCTCCATATACAGTCACATTCTGAAATACTAGGGATTAAGACTTCAACATGTAAATTTTTAGAGGACAAAATTCAGCCTGTAACAATTGGTTTGTCTTTAAATTTGAACTGAAAAATAATATTCTTTAAGACTTATGTAGTTATATTTTCATTTGAGTTTTCTATGTTTTAAAAAGTTGTCTCTACCCTAAATATTCTAATTCTTCTGATCTTGAAAGATTTCCTACAATAATGCTAGAGCAGAGAACTATTGTAACACTGATAGTTGGATATTTGATAGTTGGTAGATAAAACTAACACCATTGGCCTGGTGTGGTGGTTCACACCTGTAATCCCAGCAATTTGGGAGGCCCAGGTGGGAGGATCACTTGAGCCTGGGAGTTTAAGACTAGCCTGAGCAACATAGTGAAATGTCATCTCTACAAAAAAAATTTTTTAATTAGCCGAGTGTGGTGGCATGCACCTGTAGTCCTAGCTACTCAGGAGGCTGAGGCAGGAAGATTGTTTGAGCTCAGAGGTTGAGGCTGCAGTGAATTATGATTGTACCACTGCACTCTGGGAGGCAGCAAGACTCTGTCTCTAAAAAAAAAATTTTTTTTTCCCCATTTATTTATTTTATTGCATTTGGGGAAAGGATTCCCTGTTTAATAAATGGTGTTGGGAAAACTGGCTAGCCATGTGCAGAAAGCAGAAACTGGACCCCTTCCTGACACCTTACACTAAAATTAACTCCAGATGGATTAAAGACTTAAACATAAGACCTAACACCATAAAAACCCTAGAAGAAAATCTGGCAAAACCATTCAGGACATAGGTGTAGGCAAGGACTTCATGACCAAAACACCAAAAGCATTGACAACAAAAGCCAAAATAGACAAATGGGACCTAATCAAACTCCACAGCTTCTGCACAGCAAAAGAAACAGTCATTAAAGTGAATTGGCAACCAACAGAATGGGAAAAAATTTTTGCAGTTTACCCATCTGACAAAGGGCTGATATCCAGAATTTACAAAGAACTAAAAAAAATGTTTTAAATCAACCCCCCAAAAAAAACAAAACCTAACACCATCTTGGAGGTAGGGATGGTAGTATCAGACTTTTTAAGTGTTAGATATTTCAGAGGATGTGATTTTGAGTTTAAAAGTATCTGAATCTGGCCAGGCAGAGAGGCTTATACCTGTAATCCCAGCACTTTGAGAGACTGAAACAGGAAGATCACATGAGGTCAGGAGTTTGAGACCAGCCGAGGCAACAAAGAAAGACCCTGGCTCTATAAAAAATAAAAAATAGTGGTACACGCCTATAGTCCCAGCTACTCAGGAAGCTGAAGTGGGAAGATCGCCTGAGCCCAAGAGTTCAAGGTTGCAGTGATCCATGACTGTGCCACTGCACTCCAGCCTGTGCAACAGAGTGAGACCCTGTCTCAAAACAAACAAACAAAAAAACCTGAATCTCAGAGTCAAAAAACCTACGTAAACCTTGGCTTTACTATTTTCTATGTGATAAGTCATTTGTCTTCTCTGGGCCTTTATTTTCCTTATCTCTAAAATGAATTCTAATAATACTAATGAATAATACATATGAAAATGCTTTGTAAACATAAAGCATTGTGTAACTAACTGTAGGTATTTACTATGCCATAAAAGGGTTTTACCTTACTCTCTGATAGGTTCCCATCTAGAGAGATAATTAGGACTATTGTGAAGTATTTTGTAGCTCTCTCTGGGGCTAAGAAACTCTTATCCACTGGGAAAGCCTCCCCATCAAACAATACTAGCCACTAGGCCTCTGATCCAGGAACATTTGTAGTGGTGTTCTGGCAGAGAAAACCTTATTTCCACTTACTTCACAGTTCAATAACAACATTATACATTGCACTGGTATAATAATATTGTGAAGGAACTTAATTTGACTACATTTGCATGTGTAAAATGCCTCAAGATCTAGTCACATAGTTTTTTGGATAGTGGATTTAGCATTTGTATTCAATTCCATAAATATTTTTGAGGGCCTATTCTATAGTAAGCATTCTGCTTAATATTGCAGAGAATTCAAAGATGAATAAGGCTTAGTCCCTACATTCAGGAACATAATGCACATGGTACTTAGGTTTACGCAGGTTTAGAATATTTCAGCAATTTTGCTTTTTTTCCCCAGTGGTTCCACTTTTTGCCTCCATAACAAATGAAGTATGTCAGTAATGCTTCTGAAGTCCAGTTGGTACAGTATTATTTCACTGGCTGTCCTGAGACAGGGAGAAGAGTGAACAAGAGTAGCAAGAGTTGTTTATACTTAAGTTTTAGGGTCTAAAGTAAGTGCACAGAACATATTTGGTTAAAATTGCCCTTAAAGACCCTAAAATTACCTGTCAAGTACAGTTTTGTCTATGTAACTGTATATCTTAATTCTTATCTAAGTTAAAGAACTGAGCCAAAATAAGGGAAAGAAAGAGAAAATCTATATGCAGCCTAATTAGGCATGACTTTTCTGCCTTTAGGATAATGATCAGATCATTAGTTGTGTTTAGGGGTTTAGATAAAGAAATGAATAGTATTCCCATTTGTCTGGGTTGCTTCTTTTTTTTTTTTTCCTTTTTTGAGGCATGGTCTCAGAATTTCTGTCACTCAGGTTGGAGGGCAATGGTGCAGTTTCAGCTCACTGCAACTTCTTACTCCTGGGCTCAAGTGATTCTCGTGCCTCAGCCTCCCGAGTAGCTGGAATTACAGACATACACCACCAAGCCTGGCTAATTTTTTGTATTTTTAGTAGAGACAGAGTTTCGCTATGATGGCCAGGCCGGTATTAAACTCCTCAAGTGATTCACCTACCTGGGCCTCCCAGAGTGCTGGGGTTACAGGTGTGAGCCACTGTGCCTGGCCTCTTTTTATTTTTTTGTTTTTGAGACAGGGTCTCACTCCTGTTGCCTAGGCTGGAGTGCAGTAGCACAATCATGGCTTATTGCAGCCTTGACTTCCCAGGCTCAGGTGATCCTCCCACCTCAGCCTCCCAAGTAGCTGGGAAAACAGGTGCGCACCACCACCCCTGGCTAATTTTTATATTTTTAGTAGAGATGGGGTTTCACCTTGTTGCCCAAAATGGTCTTAATATCCTGGGTTCAAGCAATCTACTTGCCCCAATTTCCCAAAGTGCTGTGATGACAGACATGAGCCACTGTGCCTGGCCAAGGGTTGCTTTCATTATGATTTAATATGAAGTAATAGACTTGTGAGGCTAATGTACAATAATACATGTGAAAAGACAGCATAGATCCTGAAACGTATTTGCTGCTCAATAAATATTTGTTAGAATTTTGATCTAAATCTCTCCTAATTTAACAGTGGTATTTGAAGTGTTGTAAGCAATTACTTAACCACATTGCTGTGTGTCTTTCCATATTGACATTTTCTGTGTGGGTCCACTGAGTTATGGATCATTCTTGTGCCTTTTGGCACTGGTCCTAATTTACAGGGGGATTAAGCTCCAAAGTGAATGCATTATTACATGCACACCTGATGTTATTCCTCTGGGTGGTACCTTTGTTGGTATGACAACTTTTATTTTTGAAGTTTTAACACTTGAGATACTCTATTTTTAAAAATATTGCAGAATGATGGAAATGTTTTTTCCCCCCCGTGGCTTGTACTTTTGAAAGTCATACTTCTTAATAAAGTTACACTTAAAATATTTTTTTAATAAGGGATAACTCTGAGGTAGTCCTAATTTCTAGCCTTTCTTTTCCCAATATCCTTTTTCATTTTTTTAGAGACAGAGATTTGCTCTGTCACCTATGCTGGAGTGCAGTGGCACAATCACAATTCACTGCAGCCTTGAACCCCTGAGGTCAAGTGATCCTCCCCACTCTGCCTCCTGAGTAGCTGGGACTATAGGCATGTACTACCATGCCTGGCGATTTTTAAAAAAATTTTTATAGAGATCAGATCTTATTATGTTGCCCAGACTAGTCTCAAACTCCTGGGCTCAAGCGATCTGCCCACCTTGGCTTCTCAGAGCTCTAGGATTATAGGCATGAGCCACTGTGCCTGGCCCCAATATCCTTTTTTAAATAAACTTTAAAAAAATTGGTATCTAAGACGTCTTTTTTTTTCCCCACTACCTGTGTACCTGTGCCCCTTTCCTTCTATGGCAGAAACCACAGTGTGTTGATGAGTGAATAGTTTAAGCAAGGCAACAAGTTTCATTCCACTATAAAACTGATTCTGTTTGTGGCCAAGAATTGCTGTCAGTACTAACCAGCTATTTCACAGCTGTTGCATGAGGAAAGGGACTAGAGGAGGAATGTACCCCTCAGTCTATGGGCTTTGTGTACTCTGAGTGTACAAAAGATGTACGCAGAGCAGGGGTAAAACAAACAAAAAAATTTTAAAAAAGAGCAGGGGTAGTGAATAATTTGGGGCACTATTATTCCTTCTGTTTTACTTTAAGTATGACTCTTTATCTCTTCTACCAGGATATGAATTGTCTCCCACCGCAGCAGCTAACTTCACACGCCGAAACCTGGCTGACTGTCTTCGGAGTCGGGTACGTGATACATCAGACATTGTTAGATAAGAGCAGAAAAATCCTTTGTGCTTCTTTTATATTCTCATTATACATGAGTAATATATTTAACCTTTTTTGGCCTTCCAGAATCCTTCCCATTGCTACTTGTTCATTCTTCAGTCCAGCTGTCTTTGTGCACAGTTGTTATTAATAATTACAGCTCAAAGGGCAAATCTTCATTCCAGAGAATTGGTTGGGACACACCAATATGAAGGCCTGTGACAACCTAACCTTTTTTTTTTTTTTTTTTCCTAAAAACTATTTTTTAGAGCAGTGTTAGGTTCACAGCAAAACTGAGAGGAAGTATCAAGATTTCCCACACTCCCCCTCACCCACATGTATAGCATTCTCCATTATCAGCATCTTCCACCAGAGTGGTACATTTGTCACCTCATAAGCCTACGTTGACAGTAATGACCCAATGTCCATAGTTTACATTAGGGTTCACTATTGTTGTTGTGTTTATTATGAGTGTGGACAAATGTATAATGACATGTGTCTGCCATTACAGGATACAGAGTATTTTCATTGCCCTAAAAATCCTTTGTACTCTACTTACTCATTTTTCTCAATCCCCTCAACTCCCGACAACCACTTATCTTTTTACTTTCTCTATAGTTTGCCTTTCCCATCATGTCATGTGGTTGGAATCATGGATTATGCAGCCTTTTCAGATTGGCTTCTTTTATTTGGTAATACACATTTAAGGTCCCCCCATGTCTTTTCATGGCTTAATAGCTCATTTCTTTTTAACATTGAAAAATATTGCATTGTCAGGCTGGGCACGGTGGCTCATGCCTGTAATCCCAGCACTTTGGGAGGCCAAGGTGGGCGGATTATGAGGTCAGGAGTTCGAGACCAGCCTGGCCCACATGGTAAAACCTCATCTCTACTAAAAATACAAAAATTAGCCGGGCATGGGGCAGGTGCCTGTAATCCAAGCTATTTGGGTGGCTGAGGCACGAGAATCACTTGAACCCAGGAGGCGAAGGTTGTAGTGAGCGGAGATCGCACCACTGCACTCCAGCCTGGGTGAGAGTGTGAGACTCCATCTCAAAAGATGCAGCACTATGTTAAGGATTGAATGCATTAAAGATTGTGTAGGATGTGCTAGGAAAGTTCATATGGTTGCTAAAGGTGTATGTTATTCCCTTCCCACAGGGACTAAATAAATAGAGCCTTACCATGTGATCTCACCCCCTGTGCCTGTTTACTCATCTATGAAATGGAGATAACTTCCTAACCCCACAAGAGTGCCAGGAAAATGAATGCTTGTAAATCATAATATTTAACATTCATATGACTTTTGCCCAAAGCATTTTGCTTAATAATTTAATCTACTCACTATTCCACTGAGAAAGATAGTAGTTAATTCTCTATCACTGAGATGAATAGAAAGGCATAAAGTGGCAAAGGGACTAGCTCCAAGTCACACAGCAGGTCAGACAAAGCTAAAATGATGGTGCCATAATTATTTGGCTGTTCTGCATTAAGTTCGGCTCTTTGGTTCTTCAGTAGTATTTCTAGAACACTGGTGCTGTTCATATTTTTATTATAGTTTGAGTTTTCATCTGTACTTGCTTAAAATAAGTTTCTTTTTTAAAGCTACTTACTGCAGATCTACAAAGCAGTTTAGTTTCTAGTGCCTAATAATCTTGGACTGATAATTTCTCAATAAATAGTACCTCTTCGTACTAGCTTTGATCAAGAGCTCGTACAATCTGAGGGATCATGAAGCCTGAAGAGAAGCTAGAGACACATAGGATTGAGAGGAGGAGGCACATTTACATACACTGTTTTGACCTGGGTGAAAGAGCAGTTTTCCTTAAAAAACAAAAATGTATTTATTTATTTATTTTTATCTTCCAAGGTCATAGTCACCAAGTGGTCTTTTCCTGTTCACTCTTCCTTGAGAAAGGAAAATGGGTCAGACATTAGCTTTCCTGTCACCCAGAAGTTCCTCTAGTGTTCAGCATTCCATAGCTTGCCATGTACAATGTTCCTCTGACTTATCAAGCAGAACTGGAATAAGAATTCCAGCTTTGGGCACAATAAATACTGTCATAAATATTGCAGACATTAAGTGAATTAAGCTCCCTTTTAGAATTGAGATAAGAGTGGCAGTGTGCTTCAGGCAAATGAAGTGAATCCGGTTTAATCTTCTCCTAGCAGAAATGTTTGATGTCTTAACAAACAAATATCCCTTGTAGACAGTGACATAGGGCTCTCGTAAATACTGACTACCTCTGCCTGTGCTTCTGCAGTAGGTCCAATCTCCGCTCCCCCATCTCCCTATCAAAGTAGATTGAGTTCTAGAATATGAATTTATATTTTAGTCATTTAATTCTGGGAAGAGAGATGATAGTTTGTCAGTGTTCCTAATAAGTTCAAAATCACCAAATTTGGTATATTTACATGGTCACGCCAGTTGACAAATGTGAGTCATTTTGGGTCAGCCAGTTACCGTGTATAACTTTTGTGTCTGTAGCTCAAATTGTCTGATTTCTAATTTGCTCTGTATATGTGTGGTTGTTTAGTTGGGAGGACATTTATTACCACCGAATATATATTGAGTCTTACATAAACTGGTTCATTAAAATATAGGCAATTTAGCATTGTGGTTAAGGGCATAGTCTCTGGAATTGGACTACCTGGTTTGAATATTTGCTTACTGACTTAGTAGCAGGATGTCTCTGGACAAATTCTAAGCTTAATTTTTCTACTTACAAAGTGATAGCACCAACTTCAAAAAGTTGTGAGGTAATAATGCAAAGCTCTTACTTAGCACATGTATGTCACATATAACTGATTAATAAATCACTTTTTTTTTTTTGAGACATGATCTCACTCTGTCTTCTAGGCTGGAGTGCAGTGGTATGATCATAGCTCACTGCAGCCCCTTGACCTTGCAGGCTCAAATGATCCTCCCACCTCAGCCTCCCTGGCAGCTGGGACTGTAGCTACATGCCACTATACCTGGTTAATTTTTTGCAGAGCTGTGATTTCTCCATGTTGCCAGGCTGGCCTCGAGCTCCTGGGCTCAAGCAGTCCTCCCACTTTGGCTTCCCAAAGTGCTGGGATTACAGGCATGAGTCACCATGCCCAGCCCACTTTTGTTTTTATGCTGCTGTTGCTGTTTGATTGAAGAAGCAGTTTAATGGCTATAAATTAGTTTTTTATGGGGGATTACTTGTTGTGGGTTTTTTTGTTGTTGTTGTTTGTTTGTTTTGCTTTTTTATTTTGAGATAGGGTCTTGCTCTGTCACCTAAGAGATGGCACAGCTTCAACCTCCTGGGCTCAAGTGATACTCCCACTTCACCCTCCCAAGTAGCTGGGACTACAGGCACCAAGCCACCATGCTGGTATTGAAAGGGAAAATAGAAGTAAAATAACATTGAATATATATTACGTGCTAGAATTTTTCTAGATCTACACAGTTCAGTATGGTAGCCAACTAGCCATATGTGGCTATTTAAATTTAAATTAAATTAAATTAAATTAAAAATTCAGGTTTCAGAGGAAAATCTCCCGGTGGACTTTGCCTGAGTGCTAAAGAAACTTTTGTTTCTTTTTTAAAAAAAATTCCGTTCCTCAGTCACAGCCACATTTCAGGTACCCAATAGCCACATGTGGCTAACCTCTGTTGTGTTAGACATCACAGATATGGAACATATCCATCATCATAGAAGTTCTCTTGGACAGTGCTATTGTAAATACTTACATATGTATCTGTTATTAAGTATCCTTATTATGACACCATAAAATGTATTATGACCCCATTTTACTTACAAGGATGTTAGGTACTTCTCTTATATATATTTCCAAAGCACATATATAGTATGTAAAAGGGTAAGTTAAGATTCCAGCTTCAAATGTCAAACTCTTTTATACTATCTTCTTTATTAATCAGTGGACTAAAGTACAAGTATGTTTGTGCATTTAGGGAAACATGAAATGTTCAGTTTTGTTAAAATGTCAAAATCATGCATAGTATTGTATAGATAAGTTATGAAAATGTGTCCATTTTAGGTTTTCAATAAGTGTTTGCTGAATAAGTGTCATCCAACTAGGTTTATATATTCTGCTGAGAATGTTAATAATGCATTTATACACTGGAAGAGAATTCTTAATGAATGGAATATTGGAAGAAGTATTCTTAATGAATGAATGTTAATTCTTTTTTTTTTTTTGAGTCGGAGTTTCACTCTTGTTACCCAGGCTGGAGTGCAATGGCACGATCTCGGCTCACCGCAACCTCCGCCTCCTGAGTTCAGGCAATTCTCCTGCCTCAACCTCCTGAGTAGCTGGGATTACAGGCACGTGCCACCATGCCCAGCTAATGTTTTTGTATTTTTAGTAGAGACAGGGTTTCACCATGTTGACCAGGATGGTCTCGATCTCTTGACCTCGTGATCCACCCGCCTCGGCCTCCCAAAGTACTGGGATTACAGGCTTGAGCCACTGCGCCCGGCCGACTGTTAATTCTTATAGGAATTAAAAGCATGAAATCATCAGAAGATGAAAAAAGACAGATGAGGGAAAAATTCAAAAGACTTCATTTTAGTTATTTAAATGCATGTGTACATTTAAGATGATCTCTTCTTGGTTAGACCCCCAAAGGGCAGAAAAACGGCTTATACTATGCTCAAGGCTTGCTTGGTTAGGCCAGGAATGGTGGGTCACGTGTGTAAACACAGCATTTTGGGAGGCCGACATGGGTGGATCACTTGAGCCCAGGAGTTCAAGACCAGCCTGACCAACATGGTAAAACCCCGTCTCTACTAAAAATACAAATACTCAGATATGATGGCACACACCGTAATCCCAGTTACTCAGGAGGCTGAGGCAGGAGAATAGCTTGAACCCGGAAGGTGGAGGTTGCAGTGAGCCAAGATAGCGTCACTGTACTCCAGCCCGGGTTATAGAGCAAGACTCTTGTCTCAAAAAAAAAAAATAAATAAAGAAAAAGAAAAGGCTTG